CAATAATTGTTCCTACATGTTTGCAAGTATGTCAACTCGCACTAACCCCAACCTAAAAGTCTACTAATAACCTAATGAGAATTTGTTAGCATGTAAATGCAATGGAACTCAAATTCAACAAGCGGGCCATCAAAATAAAGTGTGACCTCCAGTGTTTCTTGAGCACCCCATCATCCAGTCAGAATGTTGTCCTAAGGATCATGTGACACTAAAGAAATAATGCCTCAGGAATGATTTACACGAGAGTTTTAGCAGCTTGTCTACAGTTTTCTCTATGGAGCGACGACCATCTCGGCTCCACACATCTTGCGCAGTTCCCATGAGAGTTCAGGAAGAGCTCAGGAAATAACACCCATCCTCGACGAATGGCCCGTTGCAAACACTCTTTCTCTCTGGCCGCTCACTCGAGGATCCGTGCATGTGTTGAAGGGATGGCTAAAAAAGTGCAGGTGATCGTCTGATGTGTTCAAATAAGGAGCGGACGGATCTGAAATGAAAAGGTCAGGAGGTGCAAGGAAAGAGACGACCGGTCATGGGAAATAGTGCAGTTTTTTTGGCAGGATCCATATATTTCTCTCTCCCGACCCTTGTGATTGCTCTCAGGAGCCTTTGCCCTGTGTGCAATGTTTTCATTGACATTTCTGAGATGTCTGAACACGCAAGTAAAATACGGCCAGATATGTCAGCTGTATTTGGGCCTGGCCACGCTATTATGCGAGCAAATTAGCTGCAACATTAACTGCATATCAATGTAATTTCCCTCACTGTAACCGTGGCTTCCTTTCCGCAGTTTATGAATGCTATAAAACATGTTGCTCGCTGTGTAGCTCTCACCGCGCGCACTATAAAATAATTAATGCTACGCGGGCTGAAAGATGTGGTCCATATGGGAAACGTGTTCAGCTGATGTCTTGGTTGACGTCCCATATCGCTTCAGGTGCTAATGCTATGCCAAAGCATTGCCCTCGAAACACACTTACTGCTGAGAAATGCAAAGACTTATAGTTGGATGGTAATGCAGCAGGAAGTTCTGATTTACAAAACATGGAAGTCATGCATGATCAGCACAAAAAAATGGGTAGTGCTTTCATTTAGTAAACAGTGGTGTACTGTAGTATAATTTACCCTATTGTTGTAGTCATTTATAATCAAAGGTCAAAGTGTTTTTGAACCAAACTATAGTGTAAAGTATACATGTAAGCTGTTTGATAATGAATTTTACAGCATACTGTAGTATCAACTAAAGTGAACTGATAACACTGTAACATACTTTAGCTTTTCCTACAGTAAACAGTGGCATACTATAGTATAATTTACCCTATAGTTGTAGTAAGAGTAAAAGCTTAAAGTGTTCTTGAACCATACTATAGTAAAGTATGTATTATAGTATCTACAATCCTTTGATAATGATTGTTGCACAGTTGTAATAACTATAGTGAACTGATAAACTCTAACACTATAGCATACTTAGCTTTTAAAGTATAATAAAGGCTGAGTGTTTTTGAAACGTACTATAGTAAACTTTGCTTAATAGTGTGTACAACTCTTTGTTAATGCATGTTACAGCATACTGTATAGTAAAATAGTACTATATAATAAATACAGTAGCATACTTAAGTTTTAAATAAAGTTAATGGTGATGTACTGTTATGTAATTTACCCTATAGTTGTAGTAAAGGTGTTTTTGAGCCATACTATAGTGAAGTATGTATTATAATATCTACAACCCTTTGATAATGAATGTCATACTGTAGTATTAACTATTGTAAACTGATAAAAATGTAATAAATACCATAGCATACTTTAGTTTTTACTACAGTATCAATGGTGTACTGTAGTATACTTTAGCCTATAGTTGTAGTAATTTATAGTAAAGGCTCAGTGTTTTTGAACCATGCTATAGTAAAGTATATAACTCTTTGATAAGAAATGTTACAGCATACTGTAGTATTAACTATAGTGAACTGATAAACTGCTATACTGTAGAATACTTTAGCTTTTACTGCTGTAATCAGTGGTGTACTGTAGTATAATTTACCCTAAAGTTGTAGTCATTTAAAGTAAAGGCTCAAAGTGGTTTATAACCGTACTATACAGTAGTAAAGTATACATTTTAGTATCTACAACTCTGATAAGGAATGTTACAGCATACTGTAGTATTAACAGAAATATTGCAGCATACTTTAGTATTTACTGCAGTAAACGGTGGTGTATTGTAGTATAACATACATCATAGTTGTATAAAAATACAATATTGGGTCATTTGTTTATATTACTATAGTTACGTTACCATAATAACCATAGCAAGATTACGTAACTGCTTACTATAGAATGGTCAACGGCAGTGTTTACTGTATATTACTCTAGTATTTATCCATATGAGATTTATTTAATTATTTATTTATCCATTCTGAAGGGATTTCCATAATTGTTAATAAAGAATAATTTCCCTTGAACTGAAAAAATGAAGGTCTGTTGTGTTGTAAAAACACACTTTAAAAAGTTTTCTTAGTTCATCCAGAAATAGTTTGTACTACAACACCCACTGTAGTGTTAAAAGAAGCATTATTTGTAAAAAATGATTGACTGAAGTTGAGTCAACTTTGAGAGATTTTTTTTTCGTATCTCCCAGAATAGACACTTCAGTGTAGATGTAGTTTGGATGGTAAGTTTGGGTCGTTGAGGACAAAAGCAAAAATGACCAGAGTGCGAATCAGCAGGAATTCAGCCCTCTATATGATTTCACTCTCCCCAAGGTTTTCCATGGGCGTTAGCAGAGGCACGTTCAGCTCTCTGAACACATTCCTGATCACAGCACATACCAAGAAAGGGCTTTTTCTCAAGATTAAAGGCTCTGGTATACTCGCACAAGACTTCTTCATTGGTTTCAGAGTTTTTAAGAAGATTAGTGGCTGTATACAGTTACCAAACATCCATCTAAAGATGTCCGAACAATATGTGAATACGGGCTTTAGGCCTGCGAAATATCTACACTGTTAACAATTTCCTGTACAATCTAGAGCATCTCACTGGCAGCAGTTCGCCAGTAACTTACTGTAATTCAGTTATAGCAAAGGAATACTGTATTCACATTCACAGCACAATTTATCTTGCTGTATATGTCTTTACAGTATTGTACGTGTTTATATATCTCGATATGAATTTAACGTCCTCATTTGTAAGTCGCTTTGGATAAAAGCGTCTGCTAAATGACTAAATGTAAATGTAAATGTAACAATGCAGCTTTATAATACTGTTACAAACTGCATAACTGACCAACAGTAAAATACAGTTTATATTGCAGTTCCGTTCACCAGTAACTTACTGTAAATCAGTTACAGCAAAAGTACCATATTCACATTTGCAGCACTATTTATCTTGCTCTACATGCATTTACAGTAACATACATCTTTACATATCTCAATATCATTTTCACAATGCAACTTTTTGACATACAGTACCATACTGCATAACTGCCCTACAGTAAAATCCAGTTCATATTACAGTTAAATGCTGTGTAATTTTCAAAAATCAAGACTGTATATAATTTCAGCATAGATAATGAATTTATATTGATGTTGTGTTTATATGATCAGAACACAAGACATTTGTTGACTCACTGACGAGTTTAACCATAACGGAGTGAACATTTCTTGTATGCATGTATTTTAAGGCCTGAGAGAGTTTAAAGGATTCAAACACAAGATATTGTTATGTTATGTATTATGTTATGTATATTGTTATGATCACCAGCGGTGTTTCCTTCGCCGGAGATCACTTCCGATATTCTTACTGAAATGCAACTTCCAGAACTCTTTGCGCCCATCAACTCCTGCAATAGCTGTACACTCATACAAAGACACAGCTGTAGCTTATCTTACTAATTACATGGACTGATTCGTAGGACTATAAAGACACTTCACTTTCACATTCACATGGCTGAGTCTTGTTTCTTCACAAACATTGCAAATCGTTTTTGGTTGCTTGATTTTCTGTGTTTTTGATTATTGCCTTGTAATCGTTTTGATTCATTGCCACCTAGCCTGACCTCTAGCCTGTATTTACGCTTATTGCATTAGCCTACCGTTTTGCTCCTGTTCTTGACCATTGCCTATAGAACCTTGCTTTTAATAAACTGCCTCGTCTGCGTCTACTTCGTATCATTTTATTCAGCATTAAAATTGATAAAAAAGAGATTTATAATACTGCAAAACTTATTTAAACTAAGTGCTGTACTGAACTTCATATTTAAAGAATCTTACACAGAGCTGTTTTCAACCTCAACAATAATAACAAATGTTCCTTGATTATCAACAAAAATAGACTAATGTTAGTAATGCTAGTAATGATGCTGGAAATGTCAAACAGATATGTTAAATTGTTTTAATATGTCACAATATTCTTGTTTTTAATTTATTTTAAGTGAAATAAATATAGCTTTAGGTGTCATTCACACTGAACATGTTTTTTTTCCATTGCAATGCACAACTTTCCATTGTTGTTTCATTGTGTTTAATGTAAACACAAAGTGCGCAAGCTTCTGTTTACAGTAGCAAGTTAGCATGACGGCAACATTGTGGAGGAGACACTTAAAACATTCCTGAGCGTTACTCTCATTTAGACCCATTCTGTGTGAATGACCTCTTTTAAGATATTTCTATCAAAACCCCAAGCTTCCAAACGTGAATAAAATAACACAGGTTTGCGAATTTGAAGAAAAAAAACAAACAAACAAACATCAGTAAGAGATAAAACAGCGAGATGAAAAAAAGCTTGTCAGAGAGATGTGAAAACTTTATTTAGGTTACACAAAAGTCTCCAAGCTGTCGCGTGGGCCACACGCCACACTGCTGTCAAGACCCTATGATCATCTACCAGACCCACACACACACGCATACACACAGCTGACAGCCCGTGAAACTTTATCCTCAACAGCAGCAGTAGCAGAACTGTCAGTGTGTGCCAAGGTTTTTACTCGTGTCTCGTGTGTGTGTGTTCAGGATGGCATATCGGCGCAGTGAGGAGGATGAGGAGGAGGCTGCTCGAGAGCGCAGAAGAAGAGCGAGACAGGAGAGAATGCGCAGTAAAGACAGTGAAGACGTGGCCTTCCAACCTGAGACCCCAGAACTCAACAACAGCCACAGGTAACACACACACATATTTAACTTCTAAATGATTATTTGGTATCAGAAGTGGCTTATATGAAAGGCAAAGGCCTCTAGATTACGCTTATTTTACCAAAATAAAACATGATCATTCCTTGATTTTTAATGATTTAATTAGGACAGTAAGGTCTGACTTTGCTTAGACAAAAGTCTTGTCACTTAACAGAAATAATGTAGAGTATAGAATATAAAGTCATGCTGCAGTGTAAACAGAATGAATATTGTGTATGACTCTCATGCGCTTGGAGGACTGCATCCATACATCTCTGCAATGACTCAAATAACTGATTAATAAAGTCATCTGGAATGGCAAAGAAAGCGTTCCTGCAGGACTCCCAGAGATCATCAAGATTCTTTGGATTCATCTTTAATGCCTCCTCCTTCATTTTACCCCAGACATGCTTAATAATGTTCATATCTGGTGACTGGGCTGTCCAATCCTGGAGCACCTTGACTTTCTTTGCTTTGAGGAACTTTAATATGGAGGCTGAAATATGAGGAGCGCTATCCTGCTGAAGAATTTGCCCTCTCCTGTGGTTTGTAATGTAATGGGCAGCACTAAAGTCTTGATACCTCCTAAGGCTGTTGATGTTTCCATTCACTCTGCAGATCTCTTGCACGCCTCCATACTGAATTTAACCCCAAACCATGATTTATCCTTTACCAAACTTGACTGGTTTCTGTGAGAATATTGGGTCCATGCATGTTCCAGTAGGTCTTCTGCAGTATTTGTGATGATAAAGATGCAGTTCAACAGATGATTCATGTTGAGTCAAGTTATTTGTTGCTCTACAACTGGGATTGATGACAAGACTTTAGTCAGGTAGAGTACTTAGATCTATTATTACTTCATAAATGTCTTTTTTTCTTATTTAAACTACACTGTAAAAATGTGTTGCTGGCTTTAATATTTGAGTTGAATCAAGTCACTTCAACTTGCATCAATTAAGTGGACTTTGTTACAGTTACTTAAAAGCTACAGTTAAAGCTTGATTAAAGGGATAGTTTACCCTAAAATGAAAATCCTGTCATCATTTAAGCCATGTTTACACTGCACCCACCCCATAGACTTCTATTCATAAGCATGTTATTCGAAGATGGCAGATTGGAAACGCAAGCTCATGCGAAAAGTTTGCATTAGCCTGCATTGTAAAGTTCAGGCTTGGTGAACTCAAACCTGCAAAATCGCATCATGTGATTGCGAAAGACCAGAAGATCAAAAAGCCGAGCAAGAAATTAAAATATGGAGCTATCGCTTACTTTTTTTAATGTTTAATCATGTTGTTTAATCGTTCCCTTTCTGCAGTGCTCTATGACAGAGTTTTGCAAGCTCAAACTCTAATGTAACCGTGGCTTTATTCACCCTTTACTTGTAGCAAAGATTTATTAGTTTCAACGCAAAACGCAAAAGAAGATATTTTGAAAAAGGTTGGAAACCTGTAACCATTAACTTCCATACTATTTGTTTTTCCTGCTATAGAAGTCAGTGGTTTCCAGCTTTCTTTGAGATGTCTTCTTTTGTGTTCAACAGATGAAAGAAATACTCTGACCAACTGCAACAGACTGAACTATCTGACCAATCGAAGCACAGTAGTGCCCTCTGACCAATAGCAGTAGACATATTATAATATAACAAACTTTTAAATGGTGGTGTATACAAACTAAAATATAACTTGGGATGGAAAATTGCCATTTAATAACTAAACCCAAGCATAAAGCTTGAACATTAACTCTGAGGCCAAAAGAAGCATCCAGAATGTGGCTATTGCAGAGCTCTATAACATATTTTGCCTTCTCATTCACTCGTGAATATGTGCTGGAGAAGTGGATGCTCCTGTAAGAGCAGCTCGGCCTGCCATATGCCTGCCACTGTAGGTTAATGTAGTCTGACCGCAGCGTTTGGCAAACGTTTACCCTGCGTCAGCACTACTGACAATAGATGGAGCTGTGTCTGGTCACACATCCAGAACAATCCTGGTCTTGTTTGAGCGTCTTCTGTGTCCATTCATTCCACAAAGCCTCCGTGTCTGACCACGTCACTGCTTCCGCAATGCTGACCCGCTGCAGGAAGTTATTTATTACCGAAGCCGAGGCTTAAGGAAAATCAGAAAAATGCGGTATGTAGTGAGGGAATGAAACTTTGCAGATGTTTTAAGATCCTCTAACTACGTATAATTGTTTATTCTGTTTACATAATTATTTTTATATAAATACAGACATTTTTATGGCTTTTATGTTTTGTTTATACATAAATAAAGTGTCTAGAATGTTATTTTACTGTCATATTTTTTGGTAAAACACATTTAGCATTTTCCTCACCTCAAACACTTGAATTAGGTTGATATATATGTGTATATGGACATCTATTTATGAACCATTGCAGCATATTCAACTTAAAATCAACAATTATGAATTTAAAATCCATTTATTTTGCTTGAGAAGCATTCAGATATAAGTATTAGCACTAAGAAGAATGTTCATGCTAGTTTGATGCTGTTTCTTTATAAATTAAGATGTGGATTTTGTAACATGGACAGTGTCTGAACAATCATTGGTTATTTTTAGATTATATTTTTTTTATAAAATGCATTTTGTTGGGATTTTATTTTGACAGTTTGGTAAAAATGAATCATTATTATCATTATTATTATTATTATTATTATTATTATTATTATTATTATTATTATTTATACCCATAACCAACCAGCACTGCTTAAAAAATAAATACATAAGAAATACATTTAAAATAAATTATATAAATAAATATGCTTAAATTTTGAGAATTTTTAAGAAAATATTTTCAGTTCTATTAAATTTTGAATTATTAATTATTTTATTAATTTATAAAATTATTGTATTAAATTATTTCTTATAAACATACATTAAATCTCGTGCATCCAAACATTTGTCATGTTTTCGTCTTTCAGCACTGGCCATAGAAAATCTAATAGTTTGTCACTGGTCACAGATGGTGTTATAAATGTGACCCTGAACCTTAAAACAAGTCATAAGTGTCCAGTTATTATAATTTAGAGTGTTAGACATCCCCATGAAAGCTTTAGGTTTATTATTATTACATTAGTACATTGACTTAATATCTTCACAGAACATGATCTTTACTTAATATTCCAACTATTTCTGCAGCATAAAAGACAAATCAATCATTTGGACTTGTATTTTTGGGATTTGCCTAAAAAAACCTACTTACATTGCCAATGACGAAGTTATCAAACAATTCTAAATACTTAAGTTGAATGACAGTTTTTATTTTAAACATTTTGAGGAGTTGTAGTATTACTAACGGAAACACATTATGGACTTACAGCAATGATTCTTGAATGACTTGGGAAGCTATTCTTCATTCAGCAGGTCTCATGATGATTGCAAACAAGAATGCAGATGTAGATGCAAGCAATGTGGCAGGAGAGTGCAGGGCTAATTTGCATGAAAGTCCTTAACCAAAAATTCCCCCAGTTTAAAGGTTAAGGGTACCCTTAGTAAAAGTTGGGTTGCAAGAAAAAGCAAAAAAAAAAAGATCAACCTAAGGAATTTAAGGCTGCCATTAAATATTTCCCCTTAGTAACAATTTCCTCTTAAAACATTTAAAGGACCTAATCAGCTCCCTTAAATGAACAAATGACACTCAAAATGCAAGCATTCTCACCCAAATAAAATGTTTTAGGTAAAAGACTCACAAGACTGTTGATTTATTTAATAAAACCATTTAATAAATAAACTAATATATACAGTTGAAATCAGAACCATTAGCCTCCCTGAATTATTAGCCCCCCTGTTTATTTCTTTCCCCAATTTCTGTTTAACGGAGAGACACATTTCTACATTTCCAACACATTTCTAAACATAATAGTTTGAATAACTCATTTCTAATAACAGATTTCTTTGACTAGATATTTTTCAAGACAATTCTATACAGCTTAAAGTGTCGTTTAAAGGCTGAACTAGCTTAATTAAATTAACTTGGCAGGTTAGGGTAATTAGGCAAGTTACTGTATAATGATGCTTTGTTCTGTAGACTATCGAGAGAAAAAAAAATTGCAATATATTAATAATATTGACCTTAAAATGGTTTTTAAAAAATTTTAACTTTAAAAAATCTAATCAAACTAAAACCGATAAGAAGAAAAAACATTATCAGATATACTGTGAAAATGTCCTTGCGCTGTTAAACATCATTTGGGAAATATCCGAAAAGAAAAAAAATTCGAAGGGGGTTTTAGAATTCTGACTTCAACTGTATGTGTCTGCACAGAAGTGCATTCATATGAAATCGCAGTTTCAGTGCAGCTTCAAAAGTCTCCACATGATCCCAGCCCAGTTTTATAAGTCCTCCAAACATAATGTCGAGATCGACTCGATAAGGGAACGTCTCGACATGCTTAACGGAAAGAAAACGGCACAGATGGTGTGTACTGCAGAGCTTTTTTAAGGCAAGAATTCGTGGTTCGAATCCAACCTAGTTATCTCAGAGGAAGATTGGTTGAATATCTGCTCAGTACAGGCCACCTCCTCCAATTCTGGTATGTGGAGAGATTTGTGCTGGAAGAATCTTACCAGATACTTTATAACCCCCAAATTAACATACATGCAAACACAGGAGAAGGACAGGGGGCAGTGCTGGAGGAAATGTGGAGAAGACTTGGTAAACCACTTTCACATATTTTGGAGTTGCCCAGCCATCCAGTCATATTGGAAGGACGTAAAGCAAGTGATACGTAATATTTTTGGTGATGATGTGGATCTTTCTTTTACAACAATTTATCTGGGAAATATTGCAGCCAACCTAATGGTAAAAGACAAGTACTTATTAAAAATACTCCTAGAAACCAGTAAGAAATCTGTGACTCGAAAGTGGCTACAACTGGAACCCCCTACAAAATCTGAATGGTTGGATATCATATCTAATGTTCAAAATATGGAGCTTTTTCTTTAAACCTACAAATGGACAAATACCTGCAATATTGGGAGAAATGGATTGTACTTATGCCTTTACAGACTGTAATCTGATTTATATATGTATTTGTTCATGTGACCTGTAAGGAAATATGTGACCTGTCAACCGTTCATTTAAGTTCTGGTGTTTTATTGTATTATTTACTTAATTTTATTATTTTTTAACTTACTTTTTGTATCCCCCCCCCCCCCCCCTTGTTTTATTTATTTTTTATTTTTCTTCTCTCCTTTATTTTAAATAAAAATAAAGTATAAAAAAAAAAAAGAATTCGTGGTTAGCAATTGCGGTGCCTGTCGCTGTATGTTGCCAGAAACTGCAGTGAAACGCTTAGAAAAAAAACGGCACTTGGGTAAGGGTGACGGATACCTAAGTTACCTCAGGGATTTTTCCCCCTCAGGGACACTTTTAAGTGAAATTACTGAAGGACTTTTATGCAAGCGGGCACAGGTGCTCATTGTAAATGAGGTCACTTGCAGAGGAAACAGTTGCCTCAGAGAGCAAGTCCGAGAGTGCAAGCCTGAACGTGCAAGTGCAAATCTGCCGCCACATTCTACTGAATGGATTTGCTGTTTAAACAACATGGTGCAAAATGTGAAAGTTAGGGTTGCGCTGGTCTGAAAATAGCAGCAAATCACACCAAACACGTCTTGCGCCCTACTGCACCGGGGGTAACGCCCATAAGGTTTTGTGATCCAGGGTCACCTATTGTCCTGTTGTTTTCTCTAGTGTGACTGTGTCTGAGAGCATCTCCACCTCAGTGCTGAGCTCCAGCGGGACAGGCGAGGGGGACGAGGAGGAGCAGGCCCTGCTGGAGCGCCTTGCCAAGAGAGAGGAGCGCAGGATGAGGAGGATGAAGGAGGCGCTGGAGAGACAGAAGGAGGATGAAGAGGAAAGCAGCAGCAGCAGCCTGAGACGAGGCAGGAGCTACGAGCCTGAAGAGCAACACAACAACAACAACAACCAAGAGGAGAAGGAGGAGGAGAAACAAGAAGAGGAAGAGGAGGAGGAGGACGTCAGATGTAGAGAAGAAGAAGAGGAGGAGGAGCAGCGAGTGGAGGAGAAGCAACAAAGGTCTTATTTAAGCGAACGGGTGAGTACTTATTTCATTTTTTGATGGTTCAAAGGGATGGTTCTCACAAAAATTAACATTTGAATTTTTCATAAATGCGCTTTTTTCTTCTGTGTGTAGGTTTAGTAAGTCCACTTTTATGGCTGTGAATAAATCTTTTTTTATTGACCTTTGTTATGATTTTCAGTGTTAGAAGGAAAAAAACAATTAGAAGAATTAGACACTCAAGCAGGTCGGAGAATAAGTAAATGATGACAGTTTTTGATAACCTGTCCTTTCAAGGCAATGGTTCCTGACTCACTAGAAGTCACCAAATGGCCCGTTTGCTCTGAGTGGTACAGTACGGTACGGTACAGGTCGGTATGGGTCACCTTTATCAGGCTTGCGTTTCTACTGCCTAAAGTGGCATACGTGGTGTAGAACAGAAAGTTTCAGTCAACGTCATTCCCCCCCACGAGGAAATCTCTACAGTAAAGCTGTACAAATTGTTCACATATCATATGAGAAGCACTTCTCACTAAACAGATGCTTTATACACATAAATACTTGAGTATAAATGTTCAATACTAACTTTTCTATGAACATAATTGGATTATGACTGCAGATCAATGACAGAAATAGTCTACTGCAAATGTCTGCACTTATATAAAATAAATAAATAAATGCAACAAATATGAACACATACCGACCCTTACAGTCTCCGGTATGTTACCAATTACAGTAAAACTACACCCAGCATACATTTAGTCCTTATTTGGGCATCCGCTGTGTAAAACATATGCTGGATAAGTTGGCGGTTCACACCGCTGTGGTGACCCTGAAATAATAAAGGGACTAAGCCGAAAAGAAAGTTAGGTTGCTGAAAGAATCATTTGCTTATTTTGTTATTTCCGGCTTCTCAGTTTTTTCGTGCTTCACTCTTGCATTTGTTCGTTTTTGACTGGATCGGATGTCAGAAGCACTTCAATTATCACGTGCATGTTATTATCATCAGCTCAAGAAGTTCGTCATTTAAAATATAGACGCGCATGCGAGCGCAATCAAGAAAGCAAAACACTTTAGATGGCCTTGTAAAAAAACTAGGGGCACAGAGTAAATTCTGCTCTTCTGCTCTGATTTGTGGCTGTTCGTCATGACGACAACAAGGCTTGTTTGAGCTCGGGTCAACCATGGCTTATTATTATATGTATATATTATTACAGTATATATGTAATATATGTCTTGGCTGTGTATTTAAAAATGGCGGTTCCTTTGTTTTCATTTTGGCTTATTGCACGAGCGAGTGACGCATCTCTGTAAACCAGTAGCGTTCAACTGCGTGTCTAGCTTGGCCTTTTGGTACCCTTTTGCCGGGCCAGGTATCCTTTGCAAAGGATACCAAAAAAGTGGTACAGCATGGTTCGCGTTTAAGTACCTTTTGACAGTGGAAATGGCCATAAAAGCACACCAAACCATACCGCTCGTTGGAAACGGTCCAAAAGACTTAAAGAAGTTTAACTGGTTTTAGGTAAAGAACTTAAAATGAATTGATGAATAAATTAATTGTATAAAAACTTTTATTGACATTTCTCCTTCCTTGTAAAGTAGTGATTTAATGTGGAGCTTAAATATGTTCATAAATGAAACTTTTACTGAATTTACATTTTCATTCAGACTGTCTGCATTTTTGTTTAGATCACAGACAGTTTCAGATATGACAGACATATTGTGCATTCAAAAACACTTTTTTAAATATTAAAAATAAATGAATTTTCAAAACAATGAGGATGTTAAAATATTAACCTGTATTTTTAGTTTTTGTTAATCTAAAATCTGGCTAACTTATTAGCATAAATCTTTAAGCGGCAAGATTTTAAAAAAACAAAAACAACTAATTTCTTGTATGCTACAAAAATTATTTTATTTAACAGCATTGACATGTATTTAAAGTTGTTGGAAGTCTTCCATTTAAGGTGTTCATTGCATCTTTTTCCACCTGTAGGAGTCGGTTGAGGAAATATCTAAAATACCTGATGAGGTATGATCATTTTCGAAAATAGATTTTCTTTCTCTGATGTGACACGACGAAGCCTGACTGCAGTTCTGTTTGTAGGGGAATAATGAGCGAGATGCTGTAGCTTCATCTGAAGTCCGCGAGGTGATTTTAAATGAAGATGTAAATGATTCTCAAGTTGTTTTGGAGCCGGATGTGGAAAATGACGCCTCGAGTGTACACCAGGAAAGCAGTGAGATAGAGCGATTGACAGAGAATGGAGTGGATGAAATGAGAGAGGCAGAAAACTTTGAGAAAGATGAGGCAGAGGTTTCAGAAAATGAGGAGGCGTTGGTAAGAGTTGAGTTTGGAGTGTTTGCAGGCCTGCATACGGACGGATGGTTTAGATTTCGGGTGAGAATTAAACAGGATACATAAAGACCTCATGAAATCAGAAAATCATGAATGCTCCTGTTGTTTAGTCCTGGTAAATGACCTTCATTTACAAGTGTATTTGACAAACTAAACTTAGCATATATGCATGTAATTTTATTTGAATGTATAGTTTGCTATCCAATAATTGACATTCTCATTTTTTTAATTAAGCCTTCGTTAACATGTCAATAGAGTTGGTTTCCAGAGTGAGTTTTTAGCCCAGAATATTTAAAACATTAAAATACAGATCTTTACCCTGTTCTGAGCTGAACTAGTGATCATTTCCAGCTACAATGCTGAACTGATTACACCGTTCCATGTTATCCTGAATGAGTTAGACATGGAAATATGTAGTATTCCAGAAATCACAGATTTGGAGCAAACAACTTCTCTTGCTATGACTGAAAGAATCCCTATTTTGTGTGCTTGGTCAGTCACGACATTCATTATTCCATAATAACAACCTCTAAAACTAACATCACAGGCTCATTTTAGCACTCTGAATCATCCTGGACTCAGTGAATGCATTCACATCCATATTTCAATGCTTGTCTGTCAAGCCGCTTTTTGACGCCATCTTGTGACTGAATAATACAAAGGTTAGTGTATGCTCCATTCAGCAGTTATGTTTTTCAACTATGCATTTAATTAAACAATTAATCATTGTCGTTATTTGTTTGTCCAATTTTTACGTTTTGTGGCAAGTAGATTTGTAATAAGTGGTATAAAGTACATCCAGATGGTTGTTTTTGCCGAATAAAGAATCACTAGCTATGTTTCCATCCACCTATTTAAAAAAAAAAAAAAACAATTGATGGAAACGTCATGATGTGCATAAATTTTGAAATTGTGCATAAGAATCTTATGCGCATAACTGCGTAGGATAAACTTTTTATTTGATAAAAAAGATGCGCATAAACTACGATGGAAACACTAACCGCACAAACTCCAGCATGCGCATTAAAAAAAGGTCACGTGATTTTGTGATAAGGGATCATGTGATGATAAAAATATGTGTGAATGGACAACCATCAGGCTGAGCACACTGTAAAACATCTGAAATGTTGTTTTGGTCATTATAAAACGCCTTACCGTTTCAGTATTATTTCAGTGTTATTATAGATCTTACTATTAAAAGCATCGCAGACTTCTGATACATCTTCAGATCAAACCGAATCTAAAAAGGAGCCACACAAAAATATGATCAGTCCTACCTCGATCTCAGTTTTATTGCCGGTCGAGATCCAGAGGGTGAGGAAGTCCAGCATTGTCTTTTATGCTTAGAAAAGCTTGCAAGTGCTTACATGAAACCCTTAAAATTTAAACGACAATTGACAACAAAACATTCTGCATATGCCAACAAAGGTTGGTCATATTCTCTTCTAAAAAAGAAGAGTTGTTTGTCAACAAGAAATGATCAGTTACAGCCAGCATCCCACGAAAAGCACTTCCAGCCTCATTTTGTGCACATCGAATCGCAAAATCCAAAAAGCCACACACCATATATTTTTGACTGCTTTAAATGGATACATTTTTTACTCTATTATTTTTACAAAACGTAATACATACATTATTTTTCCATATTAAAATATTATGGTGGGTCTTGAATTACTTGCCTAGGTGGGTCCCGGAATAAAAAAGTTTGGGAACCCCTGTTCTAGAACAAACAAAGCTGGTATCAAACACATCAATATTTTAGTATCGATCCGCATATCACTAATGACTACATTTTTCTAGATATTTAGCTTAAAGTGACATCTAAAGGCTCAACTAGGTTAATTAGTTCAAATATATAAATATTGCAGTCCCAAATGAAAGATATTTGACTATTTAATAAATTAGTAAACAAATCAAACCATTTCATGAGGTCTTGGATCCAATCCTGACAGTTTTTAGAAATGCATCCATCAAATGTTCCTCCCCAAAATCTTAAATCACTTCGCACACTACAGTTTGAGCACGGCGTGTTGTGTGTGCACCACCAGTGCGTTTCACATGAAAAGGTTTTAAATGCGAATGGTGTGATCAATGATATGCGGTTACACACTGTGTGTTCACGGCTTGCTGCATGTCTTTTGGGAGTTGAAGGCGAGTGTGTGTGTTTGTGTGAACACATGTACTGTTCATCATTTATCTAGTGAGTGAATCGACGGCACCCTTCCAAACTTCCAGCTCACATCTATTTTCTCTCTCTCTCACACACACACATGCATATCCTATCCACACATCACTCAGTTCTGCTTGTGTGTGTGCAGATGGAAGACGAAGATGTGATGAGGAAGAATAAACAGCCCAACGGAGGAGTGTGCGAGGACAGTCCTCCCAAACACAAGAAAGCCGAGAGGACTTTCAGGTCAGTGCTCATATAAACAATTGATGATTGTGTTAGGACGGTCCAGGCTTTCTTTTTCCAAACAGTTTAGAGTTCACGGAATTAAACATTTGGCCGCCTGTAGATGTGGAAATCACAGCAGGAAAATGTCCTAAAAAATATTATTATTATTATATTAAATTTATTTGTGTAGCTCCATTAGTTTATTTTATTAGTGGATTTTTAATTCAAATTTAATTTATTTTTAATTTAATTTATTTATTTTTTTGCAGTTCGAATATACACATAATTATCATTTTAGACTCATCTTTCACAATTGATAGCACACACATATATATATATATATATATATATATATATATATATATATATATATATATATTTTTTTTTTTTTTTTTTTTTTTTTTTTTTAAATTTACAACAGCTATTTACTTTTCTTATTCGTATGCATTTTTATAATTCTTATTATTTAATAAAAATTGTTGTGGCAATTTAAATGCAAAATAATAATAGTTATATAATATTATTAAATTATTCGGGGTGGTGTTTTTTAATATTGAATAAAATTATATATTTTTTATATTTATTTTATATTTATTTTACATTGAAAAAAATATTTCTGCAACCAATATTATTTAATGAAAAATATTGTGGCATTTTTAATGCATAAAAATAAACAATTTATACAAGTAATCAATGATTTGGGGTTGTGTTTTTTTAATATTTGATTAAATAGAATATATTTTATATTTATTTTATATTTATTTTACATTTGAAGAATGTATTTCTGAAATCAATATTATTTAATAAAAAAAATACTGTGGCAATTTAAATGCATAATAATAAAATTTATATTAAATTATTAAATTATTTGGGGAGAATTTTTTTATAATTAAAAATAAACAAAAATAAGAAAAAAAATATTCAGAAAATGAAATTCTACATTTTTATATTTATTTTTAATATTATTAGGGAAAAAATTTAAATGGTGTATGTAAGAAATAATTTTATAGTTTTCTAATAAAGAATTAGAACAGACAGATTTATTCATCATGTCTTTTTTCTTTTCCTTTTTTAAGAAATACTCAATCCTTTTGACCATAACACAAACATATCAATAAATTCCTTCAAAATTCAAATATCAAATAATTTATTAGTTACTAATAAAAGAATTTCCCCTTTGCACCAATAACCAACCCTAAAAATATAGTTTTGATGCATTCCTCTGTGGCCTCATGGAAAAAGTGATCTTTTCCATCATATACATCTACTCGCCCACATCTAAACATTTATCCAACACTCCAACCATTTACATGACAGGAAGTTGTTAAAAGCAAATAAAAATGTTCCCAGTGTGCACATACACAACTTTAAAATGACCACGCAGACAAAGCAACCCCATTCCACATGTCTGCGTTGATCTGTTTTTGACCTTGTAAGTCGGACTGGGCGATTCGTGAATAATTTCATATTACAATATGATCCATCTCATACTGTATACTAATAACGATCACACTAAAGTGTGCCATTACTCTAATCAGTTTATAGTCATTTTAAATTATTAATTCATTTATTTTAAATTATTAATTCATTCATTTTCCTTGGTCCCTTATTCATCAGGGGTCATCCAGCTGACTATTCTGGCATATGCTTTACACAACAGATGCCCTTCCAGCTGCAACCCAGTACTGGGAAACACCTACACACTTTCAGATTTACACACACTCATACACTATGGCCAATTTAGTTTATCCAGTTAACCTATAGCGAATGTTTTTGGACTGTTGGGAAAACTAGAGAACCTGGAGAAAACCTGTGCAAACTTCACACAGAAATGCCAAGTGGTCCAACCGGGACTCGAACCATCTATAATTTGATCCTTCCATCCATTATTTTTTGATTTGTTCTATCTATCTATCTATCTATCTATCTATCTATCTATCTATCTATCTATCTATCTATCTATCTATCTATCTATCTATCTATCTATCTATCTATCTATCTATCTATCTATCTGTCTATCTGTCTGTCTGTCTGTCTGTCTGTCTGTCTGTCTGTCTGTCTGTCTGTCTGTCTGTCTGTCTGTCTATCTATCTATATATCTCCACCCATCCATAATTTGATCTATCCATCCATCCATCCATCTATAGATAGAGTGTTGCTGAATAAATCTATTATCTGTAAATCCTGCATTTTGTGTCCTGACATGACTGTTTTTAAAATAAAAGTCCTACATGCATAGTAAGTTAAATATTAACTTAAAAGTAACTGAGGGAGGAAAACGATCATTGTTGTCTCACTAGGAAACGTTGTGATTGATCAAACGTAGCCTGAGGTGTGCATATTAATGACCCTAGATTAACATTTCAGTCTGTGTTTTGGCTAGTAATGTGATGACGTGGCTGATGACACCACTGTGGTCTGTGAGTCATGCAACAGTGTGCTTTGTGTTTTGATTTGCCGTGGGTTTTACACTTGTGGATTTAACATGAGGAGTTGTGGTGTTTGAGGCTCACGGTATATGGCCATTTCCATATAGACCATTTTCAGGAGTGTAAACAATAACAATGGTCCCAACATGCGTCCAGTATTACGTTTTTAATTTTCATTGCTTCGAAGAATTTAAAAAGGTCCAAATATTGCTAAATAATGTTATGATGGCTGTTTTAACATGAAGATATGACTAAATTGCCTCTTGTTACAGTTACAAAATAGTTTGACAACAAGCAGGAAATGTTCATGGGCCAGTGACATTGCTACATTCAAATGGTCTACACTGATTTCTTATTATTCGACTATGCCTAAGGCCTAGGTGTACGCAGATTTTCTTTATAGGGCACCTTTAGATTTGAAAAATGTGACAAAAAAATACACACACACACAAAATATATAATGTTAGCCCTTTTTCCTTCCTTCATACCGCACAGGGTGTAACACCATCCAATATATATGGCCATATTGCACAACCCAAGCCTGACGATGAAGTGTTTGTCTCTGGTTACCCGATACACTGTTGTCCTGAAGGCTGAAACCGGAGGCTTTGGTCACCTTAGATCACATTGACAGAGCCTGCGTCGGAATAATCTTCACACGTTACAGAACATGTTGTGTGTTTAACCCGAGTGTGTTTGTTTATTATCTCAGCCGAGGCAGTTTGCGTTCTCCCGAGGCGCCGGACGCAGACGATGAAGATGCGCGTCTGGAGGCGGAGAGGAAGCTGGAGGAGCTGAAGAGGAGGAGAGATGAGATGGAGAGCGAGGAGTTTGAGAAGATGCGGCAGAAGCAGCAGGAGGCCGAGGTGGAGCTGGAGGAGCTGAAGAGGAAGAGGGAGGAGAGGAGGAAGGTGCTGGAGGAGGAGGAGCGGCGGAGGAAGCAGGACGAGGCTGACAGGAAAACCAGAGAGGAGGTCTGTCTGTGTGTGTGTGTGTGTGTGTGTGTGTGTGTGTGTGTGTGTGTGTGTGTGTGTGTGTGTGTGTCAGTGTGCGTGCTTGTGTGGGTGTTTGTTTGTGTTGGAGTTTGTGGTTGTGTAGGTGTGTGTCACTTGTTTTCTATCCATCTATCTATCTATCTATCTATCTATCTATCTATCTATCTATCTATCTATCTATCTATCTATCTATCTATCTATCTATCTATCTATCCATCCATCCATCCATCCATCTATCCATCCGTCTATCTATCCGTCTATCCGTCTATCTGTCTATCTATAATTTTAGTTTGTTCAATTAATCCATCCATTCATCCATCCATAATTTGTTTTATCCATCCATCCATCCATCCATCCATCCATCCATCCATCCATCCATCCATCCATCCATCCATCCATCCATCCATCCATCCATCCATCCATCCATCCATCCATCCATCTATCTATCTATCTATCTATCTATCTATCTATCTATCTATCTATCTATCTATCTATCTATCTATCTATCTATCTATCTATCTATCTATCTATCTATCTATCTATCTATCTATCTATCTATCCATCCATCCATCCATCTATCCATCCGTCTATCTATCCGTCTATCCGTCTATCTGTCTATCTATAATTTTAGTTTGTTCAATTAATCCATCCATTCATCCATCCATAATTTGTTTTATCCATCCATCCATCCATCCATCCATCCATCCATCCATCCATCCATCCATCCATCCATCCATCTATCTATCTATCTATCTATCTATCTATCTATCTATCTATCTATCTATCTATCTATCTAGTTCCATCCGTCTATCTATCCACCTATCCATCCATATATTCATCTATCTATCTATTCATCTATCCGTCTATCTATCTATCTATCTATCTATCTATCTGTCTGTCTGTCTGTCTGTCTGTCTGTCTGTCTGTCTGTCCGTCCGTCCGTCCGTCCGTCTATCTATCTATCTATCTATCTATCTATCTATCTATCTATCTATCTAAAATATCTATAATATCTAAATATCTTATCTTTAAATAAGTAGTTTGAACAAGCATAAAAAGTCATGTTTTTAGTTCTCTCTTTCTCTCAGCGTGTCAAAACTGAAAACCCTCATCCTTTAGCCTAATTCCTCCTGATGTACATGAGCATGAGTGTGTGATGGTGGCCAGTGTGAGTTCCACACGGCTGCACATGGGTGTCAGACTCGGGCTGTCTACGAATCTCAGCCGTGTCGCCTTGTGGAGGCCTGCGCTCAGCATTGTAATGCAAATATGTTCCTTGTTTCCAATGAACAGAGGCATCAAATGAAAAAAAAGGACTAATTAGAGATTAGAGGCCCCCGTGCTGATGCTGGCAGCCTGTGCCAAAAACGGGGGTGTAAATAAAAAGGCTTCTTTATGATTTCCCAGATGCTGTGGAATGCAGACGGCTGCCAGTTCACATTACGCTTCCACAAAGATAGACACAGTCTCACTTTATGTTGTTCGCTCGTCTCATTATCATATGCTCGTTTATTGCGATGCTCGTTTATTGCTTAATATTTTCTAAAACTGCAATTCCAGCCTCTAAAATATCTATTCAGAGTGCTTTACAGCTCATAAAAGAACTAATATAAGTCAGTCTGTCAATAGAAAGTTCATTTGTCTCTTACATCCGTCAATCATTTCTTTGTTTATTTGCTTATTCTGTCCTCCCATCCGACCACTTTTCATTCATTTGTTAATTTATCGTTCGTTCATTAGACTGTTTGTTCCCTCTATTATTCGTTTGTTTGTCCTTATTCATCATTAGGTATTTGGTTCATTTGTTCATTCCATCCTCTGTCTATCTATCTATCTATCTATCTATCTATCTATCTATCTATCTATCTATCTATCTATCTATCTATCTATCTATCTATCTATCTATCTATCTATCTATCTATCTATCTATCTATCTGTCTGTCTATCTGTCCATCTATCAGTCTATCTTTCTGTCTGTCTGTCTGTCCGTCCGTCCGTCCGTTTATCTGTCCATCTATCATTCAATCTATCCTTCAATCCATCCATTCCTTTGTTTATTCATTTGTTTTTGTATTTATTTTTCATTTATCCATCCATCATCTATCTATCCATCCATAGTTTGTATCTTTATCTATCCATCCGTCCATCCATTTATTGCATCTATTCATCATCCATCTGTCGTTCTATCCATCTATCCATCCATCCATTTATCCATCCATCCATCCGTCGTTCCATCCATCCATCTTGCTTGTTCAATCTATCATTCAATCCATTCATCCACCATTTCCTTGTTTATTCAATTTATTAATCCATCCATCCATTCATATGTTTCTTCATTTGATTTATCTATCATTTGTATACTTTTGTCATTTTTTATAGCTCTATCGTTATTTCTAATGTTCTATCATCCTTTCATTTGATCAATTGTCTGTCCATCCATCCATCCATCCATCCATCATTCATTTGTTCTATCTGTTTTTCTTTTTGGTCCCATGCATCTATTCCTCAATTTATCTATATGTCTGTCTATCTATCTATTTATAATTTGTTGCATCTATCATTCCATCCATTCATCTATCCATGCTCTTTTTGTCCATTCCATTGATCAATTATTTGTTTTTTCATTTGTTATGTTTATTTCTCATTAGTTTATTATTATTGCATCCTTTCTTCGCTCTATCGTTTCATCCATCCATCATTATGTCTGTCTGTCTATTCACACCGTCTGCCTGTCGTTTGTTTCTTAGTTTATTCCATTCATCCACCATTGGTTCATTTTTTTATTGATTGATTCCTTTAATCATCTATCATTCAGTCCATCCATTTTGGTTCATTCCATTCCTCTTTTTATTTGTGAATTGTGCCCGTGAGCTCACAAACCTGTGTTCGCTTTCTTCTTCAGGAGGAAAAGAGGAGGATGAAGGAGGAGATAGAGAAGAGAAGAGCAGAGGCGGCCGAAAAGCGTCAGAAAGTGGAGGATTCAGTGGACGGAGAGGCCAGAAAGCCTTTTAAGTGTGTCAGTCCCAGAGGATCCTCACTGAAGGTCAGTCGCTGCTGTCCGAGGAACACACTGTCCCCACATAATCATCCGCCATAGCTTGTAAACATAATGAGGAGGAGAACAACTTGATGATTGTGTGTTAATGCAGCTGGTGTTGGATTGTGCGCTGAAGCGTGCCTGTGCTAGTTTAAGGGAATAATACCCTTTGTTACTATTGTCCACTACGGTTTCACAGTTACTGCAGTTGTTGCAAGTACAAAAGAGATGTGATTTTGGCCACTGCTTTGGTTAAAATGTAATGCAATGCACTGAAAATGTATGCTTTCACTTAAATAATATAATATAATATAATATAATATAATATAATATAATATAATATAATATAATATAATATAATATAATATAATATAATATAATATAATATAATATAATATAATATAATACGGTGTAGGTGAATTGAATAAAGAAAAAATTATCCTTAATGTTTGTGAATGAGTGTGTGTGGGTATTTCCCAGTACTGGGTTGTGGCTGGAAGGGCATCCGTTGAGTTCAACATATGCTGGAATAGATGGTGGTTCATTCCCCTGAAATAAAGACCAAGCCGAAGGAAAATGAGTAATTGAATAATATAATATAATAAGCAAGATACATAATTTCTACATAATTATGGATTAACATAAGTTTTTTCTATTAAAAGTTTTAGAATTGTCTTCTTATTTTGATGTAAAAAGCCTAATGTAACGCAACTTGTTTTTGTTTGTTTAAACGTTTCATAACATATTTTCTGTAGTAAAATTATGATAAATTGTTTTGGCATGAAGATTAATTAAGATCACATAAGCTGAATTTGCATTAAATAAAATTTAATACCTTTTAAAATGAAATAATAATATAATAAATAATATAAAATTAAATTTTAACTGCATGTAAGTTAATCTGTTGTTAGACACAGACATTATTGCAAATGTTTTAGTTCATTTCGTTTACTAAATATTCATATTTAAAAGTATTGAACATTGCATTGTCTTCATTTTTTGCAGTTTTGATTTTGCAATGTTTAAATACAGTATGTCTCTTTTTAAGAAAGATTAACCTTGCTGATACCGATTTATTTAATTGAAAACAATCCTGCAGTTTCTTATTGTATAACCTGTGCAGTTATTAGTAAAATTTGACAATTAGATTTATATTCATTACTGTTTTACAAACAAATGCCCCTTCTTTTACAGCCTGGGGTGGAAAATATTGGTTGGCTAACATTAGCTTCATTTGTTAAGTAACAGCCCCATATTGTTCTGTTATATTTTTTTAATTGATTAATTAAATTTAAGGATTTTCCCAGTACTGGGTTGCAGTTGGAAGGGTATCCGCTGCGTAAAACATATGCTGGAAAAGTTGGCAGTTCATTACCCGATTGCAATCTCTGTAATAGATGCAAAGCCAGGGGGAAATGGCTTCTCTGGTGTTGCAGTTAAGTACATATAATGTTCTTCTTTGGTATTTATGTATTTATATGCTTATTTTTTCTTGTTATTAACTCAATATTTAACTTGTTTTGTCAAGAAAAAACATTGAAAATAAAATAAAATACCTTTCCTTTTAGGCATATTAATTTATTTTAAATTATTTCATTTATTTTATTTATATTTTTAATTTAAAGTACAAAACAGAACAAAAACAATTATACAATCTATAAGAGGTTTTTATACAAATAAGAAAAAAATAATAATAAATTTAAGTAAGTGATTTTTTTTTCTTCTACATTTAACAAATTTCCCATCTATATAAAAATCTTTGACTGTGGTCAATCCTTTGTTTCTCTATTCTTTGTTTTGCCAACAAATGGGCATTTACACTGAGGGGCATGTAATGTTCAATGCTTTCTTCATTTGATTGATTTTTTAATAGAATTGAGCACAACCATATTTTTACATTGTGACTTCTTTAAAGATAAGGGTATAGAAAAAAGAATAGCAGCTAAAGAGCTACCAACAACTGACTGTGTTCCATATCTAGCTATTTGGGTTGCAGGATGCCTTGTAGGATCCTGGTCACTGGAATGCCAAAACATCAAGGCTCTATTATTTGCTTAATAATAATGTCAAAAAACTGGTAGTGCTAGGCCACCCAACTCTTTTTGTTTTTGCAAGTGGCCCTTGCAAAAACCCAAATTCTGTGTGCCTTGTAAACCCCAAATGAATAGCAAAGTAACAGAGTGTAGTTGTTTAAAAAAGGAATGGGGCAGATAAATTCTTGAATAGATAAACAAAACTAGGCAAAAACACCATTTTAATAGCATTAACCCAACCAATTAAAGATAACGAATGCATCCTCCACTTGTTATTGGATAACATTAACTTATTTATTGCTTCTGTGAAATTTAAATTGAGAATATAATTAAAGTTTTTGGGAATAACTGAGCCTAATTATGTAAAATGATTGTCTGCTATTCTAAAGAAAGACATAGTAAAGTAAAGACCTCAGAAACTGATCATCCAGCCCTTCACTCAGTGGCATGAATACACTCTTATCCCAGTTAACAGAATAACCCGAGAAGGAGCTAAAGACCTCAAGTGTTCAGTTACATGCTACAGTAAACCTGTTGCATATAAAATATATTGAAAAAACAGTAGCTGGTGAGCAAATAGGTTAATAAAATGTGGCTATTTTAGCGTGGCGGACATTGTGCAATGAGAAATGACATCATTTTTGTCATGACATCAACGTTGAACGAAACGCCTTCCCTATTTATCATATGCAGATGATCCGTTCACAGATCTGCTTTGTCATCATGTACTCTGTATGTATGTACTGCATGCCGTGTGATGCATTGGTGTGGTTTTAAACTTTCGATTCTGTGGAAAGTCAGATCAGTTTAACATGAAATCAATATTAGGTTAAGAAATAAAAGGAGTAATTAGTTATAATCAAATTATAGGACATGTTTTGATGATCCACAACGTCTTTTCCTGCTTTTCCTACATGCATGAATACGAGTTTCCTGCTGTCAGTGGTTTTGAAGACTCTTCCCTTTTGGTATCCACCTTTCTTTCTTTTTTTACCAAAAATACAAAATGGCGCTTTGGCGTTTTAGCGAGATAAAGCCGATCTGCTGTCTGCAAGAATTCTGATGGGGTAGGTGGGGGCGACGCAGGAAGACCATTAGACTAATAGGATTACTGTAACCACATTCTGACGGAGCCGTTTCAAACGCGCCCGAGAATGGGGAATTTCCTGCTGAGGAGTATTTTAGGAACTCCCACATTCGGTCGAGGAGGGGGGGGAGTGAATTTTTTTTTTTTCCTCCAGATACTTTCGTGGTGTGTATGTGTGTTGTCTGTGTGGTTTTTGTTGTTGCTTCACGGGAACACTTTCCCCCCTCTTAGCCCTGTTGTCATATATCATAAACACAGGCCACGGTTCCCACAGAGAGAAAGAGAGAGAAAAAGACAGAGAGAGAGGACTGAAAAGGGTCCTGCTTTTCCTGGCCCCGTGACAGTTTCATACTGAAAAGAACAGACTAGTCTCTTGCCTCAGAATAGCAGAGTCCGACAAACTGTGTGTGTGTGTGAGAGAGAGTGTCTGATACATTATGAATTGTCCTTGTTAACCATGTACACATGTGTGTGTGTGTGTGTGTGTGAGAGAGAGAGAGTTTGTACAGGTTTGTGTGGTTTACAGGGATATAAGTTTGTATAATAACGTGTATGACTTAGTTGTACTCTATTAAGCTGGTTTGCAGGGACACACGTTAAATACCTGTAATTCAAAATGGCTATAAAATCATGCTTAATGAGGCCTTTTGAAATTAAAAAATAGGGTGGCGTAGTTACTGTATAAAATACATTACTATAGCCTATGAAGCGTCTCTGTAATCAATTTTATACATATGAGAGAGAGAGAGAGAGAGAGAGAGGGAGACAGAGTGTACAGGTTTTTGTGGTTTACAGGGACACAAAGTTGCATAATATATGTATGATTTAGTTGTAATCTTATTATACTGGTTTTACAGGGACATTCAATTCAAAGTGGCTATAAAATCATACTTAATGAGGTCTTTTGAAATTAATAATAAATAAGGGTGACGTAGTTACTGTATAAAATACATTACTATAGCCTATGGAGCGTCTTATGTTATACGTATGAGAGAGAGAGAGAGAGAGAGAATGTACAGGGGTTTACAGGGACACAAAGTTGCATAATAGCATATGTATGATTTAGTTGTACTCTTATTAAACTGGTTTAACAGGGACATTCAATTCAAAATGGCTATAAAGTCATACTTAATTAGGTCTTTTGAAGTTAAAATTTGGGAGTGGCATAGGGCCATATATGATAGCATTTTTACAATATAAAATACATCACGCCTATGGAGCGTCCCTGTAAAATATGTATACATATGAGAGAAAGAGAGCAAGAAAGAGGAAGAATGTACAGGTTTATGTGGTTTACAGGGACACAAAGTTGCATAATAACATGTATGACTTGGTTAGGCTGGTTTACCGAGACAATCAATAAAATGGCTATAAAATCATACTTAATAAGGTCTTGAAATGAATTTGGTAGTAACAGAGTGCCATATAAAATAAGCATTTTTACAGTATAAAATACACTTTGCCTATAGAGTGTCCCTGTAAACCATGAATCCTGGTGAGAGGCTAATGTGGTGTACAGGGATGCAAAGTTGTATAATAACATGGGTATGGCTTAGTTGTACTCTATTAAGCTGGTTTACAGGGACATTCAATTAAAAACAGCTATAAAATTTATACTTAATGAGGGTTTTTTTTATTAAAAACGTTTGGGTGGCGTAGGGCCATGTATAATAAGCGTTTTACTTTAAAAAATACATTATGCCTATGCCGTGTCCTTGTAAACCATGTGTGTGTGTGTGTGTGTGTGTGTGAGCGAGAGAGAAAGAGAGAGTTTGGTTCACAGAGATACAGTTATATAATAACATGGGTATAACATTTTTATTGTATGATATACATTACTTCTATGAAGTATCCTTGTAAACCATGTGTATGTTTGTGTGTGAGAGAGAGAGACAGGTTTATGCAGTTTACAGGTACACAAAGTTGTGTAATAACATGGTTATGACTTAGTTGTACTCTATTGAGCTGGTTTAAGGGGACACTCAATTCAAAATGGCTTTAAAATCATACTTAATGTGGCCTTTCAAAATTAAAAAGTTGTGGGTGGCATAGGGTCATATATAAAAAGTGTTTTTTACTGTCTAAAATACATTACACAGATGGAGTGTCCCTGTAAACTATGTATACGTGTGTGTTTGTGTGCATTCTCCTCATGGCCGCACCAGTGACCTTTCTCAAATCTATCTTTTGTCTCATTTCTTTCCACAGATCGGTGAAAGGGCAGAATTTCTCAACAGATCAGCACAGAAAAGGTGATCACTTGTGCTTTTATTTCCCTTACAGACTCGTCCATGCAAACATGCTTTTCAGTTTAACGCTGGCGCCACTGGGCTGTTCTTAAAAAAATAAGATTGCATGAATTATTAATGTGAAGTATTTTTGGTGGGTTACATGAATGTTCTAGTTCCGAAACAAGTTCTTTCCACAGCATTTGTGGCACATTGTTGATTACCACAGTGTTAATTAAGTTGACTCGCCCCCGAGTTTGTATAAATGAAGATGTACGCAACATTTCAGAAGTCAGCTGTTTACTTTGTGATAAATCCACCCACTGGAATTTTGTTGATAATTCATTATTAGATGTTTACAACAGCAGCCTCACCTCAAAAAGAATAACTAATAACTGAAGTCTATCTATCTATTGATCTATCGCTCCATTGTTCTATCTATCTATCTATCTATCTATCTATCTATCTATCTATCTATCTATCTATCTATCTATCTATCTATCTATCTATCTATCTATCTATCTATCTATCTATCTATCTATCTATCTGTCTGTCTATCATCTATCTATCTATCTATCTATCTATCTGTCTGTCTGTCTGTCTGTCTGTCTATCTATCTACCTACCTACCTACCTACCTACCTACCTACCCACCCATCCATCTATTCATCCATCCATATTTAGTCTGTATCTCCATTCATCCATCCATCCATCCATCCATCCATCCATCCATCCATCTATAGTCTGTATCTTTATCTATCTATATATCCATCCATCTAGTCTGCATCTCCATTCATCCATCTATCTATCCATCCATCCATCTAGTCTGTATCTCCATCCGTCCATCCATCCATCTATCCATCTAGTCTGTATCTCCATCCATCCATCTATCCATCCATCCATCTAGTCTGTATCTCCATCCATCCATCCATCCATCCATCCATCCACTCTGGATCTCCATCCATCCATCTATCTATCCATCCATTAGTCTAGTCTGTATCTCCATCCATCCATCCATCCATCCATCCACTCTGGATCTCCATCCATCCATCTATCTATCCATCCATTAGTCTAGTCTGTATCTCCATCCATCCATCCATCCATCCATCCATCCAGTCTGTATCTCCATCCATCCATTCATCCATCCATCTAGTCTGTATCTCCATCCATTCATCTATCCATCCATCCATCTAGTCTGTATCTCCATCCATTCATCTATCCATCCATCCATCTAGTCTGTATCTCCATCCATCCATTCATCCATCCATCCATTCATCCGTCATTCTATCCATCCATCCATCCATCCATCCATCCATCCATCCATCCGTCATTTGATCTATCTATCTATCTATCTATCCGTTGTTCTGTCCACCCATCCATTCATAGTCTGTATCTTTATCCGTCCATCCATCCATCCATCCATCCATCCATCCATCCATCCATCCGTCTATTATTTGTCACGCATAAATTGTTTATTGACATTTGTGTGTGTGTGTGTGTGTGTGTGTGTGTGTGTGTTGTCAGTTCTGTGAAGGCGTCTCACACTCCTGTGGTGTCTAAGATTGATAACCGATTAGAGCAGTACACCACCGCGGTGCAGGTGAGCACTACATCATCTCTCCAACTCAGCACGCACACATGATCAATCTAAAGGAAACGACACATGCTCATCTCCACTTTTTCCTTCCGCATATCTCTCTCCGTTCAGGGCAACAAGGAGGTCAGATCTCCCAGATCAGGCGCCATAGATCTTCCAATGGTGACGGACGGCATTCGCAACATCAAGAGCATGTTTGAGAAGGGAAATGTCTTCAGCTCTGGCGGGAGCCCAGCTTCCACCAATAAGGTTTGGGATATTCATCCGTATGAATAAACCATGAAGGGATAGAAGGGATACAGCTGCAGACAATTTTGAATGGGTCTATATACAGTACTGTGAAAAAGATTTGACTACTAGTGTTTTCACCAAAAAAAAAAAAAAAGGTTTAAAGTGGGTTATTTCTATATTTTTCTTTATCATGCTAGTTTGAAATATCAATTTACATTCCAAACATTATTTTTTGTCATTAATTGTAATTATACCGTGAGATTATTGTCTGCAAAAGGAGAAGAAATTTGGCAACATCTCCAAGATGCTTTAAAAAAAACCTACAAACTGCAAACTTGAAAAACTGTGGTGTACCAAGTGTTTTAAATGCAAAGTGTGGTCACACAAAATGTAGATTTCATTTAGTTAATGTAAGTTAATTGATAAATAGAATATATTTACACATTATTTTTGAAAGCACACAGCAAAACAAGATTTCTTACTTAGATTAGTGGTCTTGTTTCTAGTCCAAATATCTAAAAATTCTCAAAGCAAGAATCATTTTCTAGACAAGCAAAACATATAGTCTTGTTTTAACATGATATATATCAAAATAAAGCAAGTTTTTCATTAAAACAAGCTAAATTATCTGCCAATGGGGCGAACAATCTTATGTCAAAAGGAAAAAAATGATTATTTTACTTACTCCTTTGGTTGATTATTTAGCTTGCTTTAAGGAAAAAGGACTTAATTTTGACATATTATTCCTAAAACAAGATTATATGTTTTGCTCATCTTAAAAATTGTTCTTGATTTATTTTTTTTTCTTAGATATTTGGCCTAGAAACAAGACAAAAGAGCTTAGTAAGAAAATCATTTTTTGCAGTGCATCCTAATTTTACAGCCTAAAGTGCCTATAACTTTAAACGGTACTGAGCTTTGCAGGTAGGTTTTATGAAGCATGTTAGAGATGTTGCCAAAGTTCTTCTGGATTTAGTTTGTCTCAGTTTGTTCTGTTTCTTCATATCATTCCTGACAGACTGGATGATCATCAGAGTAGTGGTGCGCCGGCTGTTGTCTGACTCTTTGTGCAGACAATAATCTCACTATGTAATTACAATTAATGACAAAAACTGACATGCTACAAAAAAAAATAAATAAATAAATAAATAATAATAATAATAATATATATATATATATATATATATATATATATATATATATATATATATATATATATAGCACCAATTTATTTTTTGACAATAATTACTATATAGGGAGTAGGTATTAGTGGAGCACAATGTAATGGGCCATTTAATAAATAATATAAAACTTTCAACCGGAGCTGTATCCATTCTAGCAGCAACCCACTTTTCCTCATGGACCCATTTCCTGTCATTCAACCACGTCATTGTTTGAACTTTAACCTAAAAGGGAGTGTTTTCTTCCGTCCCAATCCAGGATGCAGCTGGGATAAAGGTGGGCGTGGCCGGTCGCATCAATGATTGGTTGAATAAAACTCCAGAGACAGGCAAAATGTCAGGAGGAAGACCTGCTGTAAGCCCCTCTGCTTTTAGTGCATTACATCAGCATCCAGTGAATCTTGTTGTTTGACGCCACCTAGTGGTACTGATCCAACTCAAGGGGAAATGATGCGAAGCCCTGAACTGAAACAGATGTTAAAGAAAACATTAGAAAGAGATTCATGGGAGCTTTCGCTCACTAATTTCAGCCGTTTATATATACATGTGACTATTTCTGTCATGCAATCACGCAGCAGTCATTAATGGGGTTGTTTCTCTCACATCCTGTCTGCTTCAGCAGGCCTGTAATCTTTCATTGCTGATTGGCTGTTTATTTTAAAGCTTCGGCTTCGATGTTCAAATATGGATGTAGTAAGAAAGGAGCTATAAATATATTTAAATGCGCAAATCTGTGTTAGAAAAAGGAGACTAGTGCAATAGTTCAGACTTTGTACATCGAAAGGAATCAAAGTTTTGTGATCACAATAACCATCAAAGGCTATATTTGGCAATTCAGCAATGCCTAATTTCTTAAAGCAATTACATACTACAACTTAACCTAGTTAAACGATGCAAATGATTTTCATAAACTTTCATAAAAATCGCAAAATTTCATAAAAATCACTAAAACACAATTTGTATTAAAAACTCTATGCATTTTTATATAGGGTTCTTTATGTAAGCAGATAAAAACCCATTGAGATCAAGAACTCATTTACAAGGGTGACCTGACCGAGAGTTTCCAACACATGACTTATAAAAAAAAAAATTATAATAATAATTAAAAAGTAGACGAGGCAGTGGCGCAGTAGGTAGTGCTGTCGCCTCACAGCAAGATGGTCGCTGGTTCAAACCTCGGCTCAGTTGGCGTTTCTGTGTGGAGTTTGCATGTTCTCCCTGCCTTCGCATGGGTTTTCTCCGGGTGCTCCGGTTTCCCCCACAGTCCAAAGACATGCGGTACAGGTGAATTGGGTAGGCTAAATTGTCCGTAGTGTGTGTGTGTGAATGTGTGTGTGGATGTTTCCCAGAGATGGGTTACGGCTGGAAGGGCATCCGCTGCGTAAAAACTTGCTGGATAAGTTGGCGGTTCATTCCGCTGTGGCGACCCCGGATTAATAAAGGGACTAAGCCGACAAGAAAATGAATGAATGAATTAAAAAGTAAAGATAATATTAAAGATACAGTTTAGTTATTCAGCTTTACCACATTACAATATGTTCAAAACACACACATTAAGAAAATGAGTTGTTTATTATAAAGAATAGAGCGAAATGATTTGATTGGGACGAGCTCAGCCATTTTTAGTTCCGACTGAAGAGCACTCCAGGATGAGGGGGCAGCATAAATAAACGCTCACCTCCCTATTTTAGTTCAAACTTAGGTACTAGTCAAATGATAAGATTCGCTTGAACTGGCTTTTTGACCTATGAAGAAGTGAACTTGGGTATAAAGGCACCAGACCCTGAAGAGCCTTGTAGACCAGAGTCATCCAGTGTGTGTACCTTTATAAGCTGGATTTATACTTTTACCTGGCGCCACATCATGCACCTCCGCTGACTGTGCGTGCACCTCACAAAGCTTTAATACTTGCCACGTTCAACGTTGTGATATACTTTAAAGCGAAAAGGGGGAATCAATAGAAACCCACCGTAAAATCAGATGGATAAACAGAGACCTAGAAGGTTTCAGAACAACATCATATCCTTAATATCATTCAATAATATTAAATTCAATTAATATAATATTTTTAAACTAATTATTTGTATGGTTTTTATCAATTATTTTAATGATTTTAAGGATTTTTATAACCTCTCAAGATTTTTTTTAATCAAACTTTGATGCATCACTTGCTTTTGTTCATATCTCTGACAGTTTTACCTATAAAAGTTTATTAAAATATTAATGACAACAGAACATGGGCTGTTCTACAAATATATATTTTATTATGGTGAGAATAAAAGCAAAAAAAAAGCACACCTACTAAAAAAATACAGATAACCCACATATTACTGTCCGGCTAGTTTCTGTCCTCTAATTATTCTAAAAAGGCGCGCACTGTTCGCTGGAGTCTCAAAAAAAAACATGCGCTCCACCAGCCGAAATCATGTCTCGGGCACCCAAAGCGAACCTCCGCGATGACATCAAATTCGCCACGCGCACTCAAGCAAACTAACGGTATAAACCAGGCTTTACATTTAGAGAAGTTCAGCTTTGGCATACAGTTCACAATGATGAGTTAAGCTGCGGTCACACTAGAGTTTGAGCATGTGAAATTCTGTAGTACGGTGCTGCGAAATGGGGCGGGAATAAATATTTTGATTAAATTAATGTTTTGATCCTCGATTGGTCTCACGCAGTTAAGTGATGCAATTTTGAAGTCAGACTTCATCAAGCTTGAACTTTGCAATGCAGCGAACTGTGAAACTTGTCGCTCGAGCTTGCGTTTCCGGTCTGATGCATTCGCATGCGTATGAATGGAAGTCTACGGGGAGAAAAGTCCAGTGACTGCAGCTTTAGCCTACGACAGCCTGTAACAAACCTCAGAGCGCTGTAATAAACAGAGTTTAAAGGCTGAAGACATTTGGTTGAAGCATTCATATACAAAACATCACCATAGTCAATCAATGGTAAAAACGTTGCAGACACTAAATCTTTACGACCTTTAGGAGAAGAGCAGGATCCATTTCGAAAGTAAGAGCCAAGCTTAACTCTCAGTTTGCGAACCAAATTTGCTTCGTGTGCTTTGAAGGAAAGCAAAAGATTTTCAAATTCAGAAAATAAAGTGGGTTATGTGTTAACTTATGGGTTTACTCATCTGAAGGGCAGTATTGCTACACAGTTTAAGCCTTTAAGAAAGTGCTATAAGGTGACAGAGTCAGTTCACACCTAATGTACGCATTTAACACAATGGGACTGAACTTTGATCAGCACACACATATTTTTTCTGATGAAAACTGACTTGAGCATTAATAGAAATGCTTCACATTCTTCCACTGGTTATTTCAAATAATAAATATGCCGACTTTATAAAAGTCAGTCATGTGCCTTCACTGTTTTCCTGTCATTCTCTCTTTCTTTTCCACTGTTAGATTTCCCTCTGCTTCTTGCCCTGGACTTTTTTCCTCTGCTCTTTCCTCTGCTCTCTTTCTCTGCTGAGGATCAGGTATGATATGCGAGTGTGCGTTTCTGCTAGGACTGCACAATATTGGAAAAATCGGACATTGCGATGTTTAGTTTTTCTGCAATAAATAATACACTGTATGCAGTATAATAAACGATAAAGGGGCTGCACTGTGGCTCAGTGATTAGCACTGTCACCTCACAGTTGGCATTTCTGCATCTAGCTGTGCATAGAGCCCATTGCGGATGTGCACATTGCGATGTTGACGCTGAAATGATATATTGTGCAGCCCTAGTTTCTGCCGTCCCTTATGTCATGTCTCTGGTATTGACATATGTATATGTGTGTGTGTTTACATGAGTTGTGTAGTTCAGGGTCATCTCACTAGTGATATTACACCCCATTTACCCTCCCGCAGGACCTGAAACCGGGCGACGTGACCAGCAAACGCAGTCTATGGGAAAACAAAGGCTCCTCTGCTACCAAGGTAACCAAACAAATTTCCCCCCACCCCCGAATCAGCCCGACTTGCTCTCACTCAGTTATTTATACACATTTTCATAAGCCCCTGGAGAATGCATTAATAAAGCACTTATTTGTCCAAACAACAGGCTGTTGGTTTTTATAACACTTCAGGCATGCTATTAGGACTTTTGGAGACAGCACTCTAGCATGATATCTGCCGACAAAATAACGTTGCCTGTGTGTTTTCTGTTTGAAGCTGTCCCCTAGCTAATTGTCTACAGATCTGACCACCTTGAGGAGGTAAATGTTACTTTATCGCAGTGGAATGTGCAGTGTTTGATGAGCCACACTTCATGCATTTATCACGAGATGGCTGAGGAACTGTGATGTCTTGCCTTTGGCTTTTTTTTGCATTTCTTCACAGAGCTTCTCTTGCACTTTCGCTCTCTGCCATAAGAGCAGGCGTTTGGTTTGCAGGAAGGAAGTGCTTTAAATAGCTGAAGTTACTCCTGAGGCACCAATTGACCCCCTTGTTAAGCTCCACCTACTTTGGTTGCCTTTTCTTGCTCAGAGAGCATTCGAGTCTGATAGGATTGAGCCTTTTGTGAGGGAAAATACTGCAGTTCTGCCATTTTATGCGACCACAAAACACCTTAGAAAACTCCTAGTTAGGGATTGGTGACTATTTACAATGTACTAGTATCAGCTAACATCATTTAGGCAAGTTTTGCAAGAAAACCCCTACATGAATAGTGCTTAAATGCGATTCATGACTAATGCTTAAATGCTGAAGATAGAAATGGAGTTTTAATGGCAAGTGGTATCTAATCATAGTCACAGTCACTATTACAATTATGTAAATCAATATGCAAATGAATGAACATTGATTTGCCTTGGAGCAAATGTAGGTCAGGATTTATCGGAAAAGGAAATAATAACGTTCATATTTTAAGAAACCACACCCTAGCAACCTCATAGTAATGATAGCAACTCTGAAAAACATTAAATCAATGCATCAGAATCAGTAGTTATCAGCTGATAGATATGAGCCAGTAGGGGCCTTCGGAGCCTACTGCTTATTATTCGATTGAATGGGTGTTATCATTGGTTATCAGCTGATAGATATGGGCCAGTAGGGGCCTTCGGAGCCTACTGGTTATTACTCGATTGTTTGGGTGTTATCAGTGGTTATCAGCTGATAGATATGGGCCAGTAGGGGCCTTCTGCGCCTACTGGTAGGCTCAGAACGCTGTTATCGTCCATCCAAATGGCTAAACAGCTATACTAATAGAGAAAACTATTAAATTTCACATTAATTGTATTTTATTAACGTCTACCCCACCCCAACCCTAAAGCTAACCATCACAGTAATGTAAAAGCAGATCTGGATCTGGAGTCTTCTCTATTAGTATAGCTGATTAACCAAGTGAATGGATGATAACAGCCTTCTGAGCCAATCAGTAGGCGCAGAAGACCCCCACTGGCTCATGTTTCTATTAACTGATGACCACTGATAATGCGCAACAACAACAACAGCCCCACCCTCTCTTCAAAAAATGTATCCTGCACATGCCCTTTGGACAGTCTCTGCATGGAACTGTCTAAATGGAAATATTGGAATGTTGCATATTTTAAATTCCATCAAAATTATCCAACCACAAGACTTCCATAAACACATATAAGAAGATTATGGAAGGCTTTTGGGGCCAAAATGTAAATTTGGTCATGTGAACATGAATCTTGCTTGCGCTAAGGTGATGTTTAGTATGTGTGGACACGTACAGTTTCACAATCTTAAAATGCTAATATTTATGCACTTCCATGCCATTATGTCATTACGATATCATTCACAAAAAAACACGCACTCATGAAATTGATTTTGCTGCCTGTTCCAACTACTTATTCAAAATAAGTTGAATCTTGAGTTTTTATGTTATGGTGTTTTAAGTTCAATCCACATAAACTTGTTAAAACAATTATGTCAACTTAATCGACTTATGTTGAGACAACATGAAGGAATTATGTGGAACCAAAGAGCATAGAATCACCAAGAGGCGACACTCTAGTGTAATTTGGGGAACAGCCACTAGAGGGCGCGGCGGCCATTTTAGAATGAAAACTCCCAATAGAACAACAGCGTATTATAAGGCTGTAAAATAAACTATTAAAAGTGCTGTTGATTGTGATAATAACCGTTGTATTGTCGTCTTTCAGGTTGTATCTCAGCTTTAATACGCTTTTTAAATAGATAAATAAAAAACAAAGCAGCTGCCTGCCATCGCAAAAGTAATGAGATCTAGTGGACGGCCGATCACGTTCACTCCAAAATGGCGGAATCCAGGGCTGCTGCTGGGCGCTGCTGGAACGTATTGAGTGTCGCCTCTTGGTCATTCTAAGCTCTTTGGTGGAACCCAGCATTTTTTACAGTGTGATGTCACATATTTGGATACAAACATAGCAAGGAACATCACATCAAATATTCAAATATAATCACAAATCCAGCTATTTCATTGGCTGCTTATAAACATGATCAAATTTCATGCCTTGATTAAAGATATATGGCCCTAATTGCCTTTCATCTAAGAAGCACACTGTAAAAAGCAATTAGCTGACTTTGCTCTGAAAGAAGAAAGTGAACTTGTTGCCTTATAATGATTAGGTATTTGAATGTTGCATATTTTAAATTCCATCAAAACTATCCTACCGCAAGGCTTCCATAAACGCATATAAGGTTATGGAAGGCCGTTGGGGCCAAAATGTGAAATTTGGTCATGTGGACATGAGTTTGGACTATGCTAAGGTGATAATAGTTGTTTAGTACATGTGGACACGCACAGTTTCACAGTCTTGAGGTGCCAATATTTCTGCACATCCATGCCATTATGTCATTATGAGATCATTCGCAATTAAATATGCACTTAAAATATTAATTTTACTGCTTGTTCGAACTACTTATTTAAAATGAGTGGAATCTTGAGCTTTTATGTTATGTTTCATGTTCAATCCACTTAATTTGGCTTTTTTTTTTTTACAGTGTGATGTCATATTTGCTAACAAACATTGCAAGGAACATCACATAACATATTCAAATATAATCACAAATCCAGCTATTTCATTGGCTCCTTATAGACATGATCAAATGTCATGCCTTAATTAAAGATTTATTGCCTTTCATATAAAAAGCACACTGTAGAAAGCAATTAGAAAAAAAGAGAGTGATCTCATTGCCATATAATTATTACGTAAACAAACTGTGCATAATTACTGTGCATACGTCAATTGGTATATTCACTATTTACAGCAAAGTAATTGCTTTTTACAGTGAACAAAAGCTTTTCTGATATAATAGGATGCATGGCAACAGTCGCTAAGGTAAGCTTGGTCAGCAATGTTTACAGGCTGGATCAGTTTCACCTTCTCTCTTTCATTCTCTCTTTTTCACCTCACACATGGGTTTAACACCCATCACCCCTTCACAAAGGACTATTGTGAGAAGATCTATTTTGATGCAGGCATGACTGTGATCCAGTTGACCAAACATGGCACTTGTGCACACTCATACACACACACATCATGAATAGAAGTCAATTCCAGCTCTATCATGAGTCGATCCTATCTCCTGAACCTGAAAAGGCATTCCCTTGAGTGCTGGCCTTCATATTTTTTATGTCCACAGATCAAACAGATAATAATGGTAGTCATTCAGCTCTATCTTTGGAACGGGCACAATAGAATTGACTGCTGGACTGTCAGCAAGGCGTCAAGATCAGGCCAAGGCCGCGGTGAGCCGCAGACTGCAGTTTTGGCCCCGTGCACTTAAAGGACTGGTAAACGGTGACGTAAAAAGCCTAATGAAGGGAAATCTGTGGTCATAACCGCATGGATGTTACCAAAAACCATCAGATCTGTTTGGTCAGGAGTGGAAAGAATGAGGGTTTCGCTGGAAAAAAAAAAAAAAAAAGCGATCTGTATGAAACCGTGCTAAGCATGTTCCTGTCGTTGTACACGCAGCATGTCGGCCACAAGCGCTTTCACTGATGACTTTCTTGAGCACATAGGCACAATAAGTATGTGAAAACGGAAATGTGAGATGAATTGTGAAGGCATAAGTGAAATACCAGACGGACAGGCTGAGAAGGACTCAGCCAATCTGATTTGCACATGCACTTTCATGCTTGTTAATCTTATTCCGTCTATTCTTCTCTCTTTTTCCATATTTCTTTTCGCTCTATACTTCTCCCAGGTCACAAGCAGGGGAGAGACCAAATCTGTCACCAATGGTAAGGACAAGATCAACTGTATTTGGAGAAATAATTCAAATTTCCAATGTAAAGCAGTTTGTTAACTGGAAACTGTTGTGAAGGGTATTAAAATGTATTTAATGCATTTTTGATCAGAACCATTATATTCATTCTCTTGTTTTCCTTCAGCTTAGTGCCTTATTTATCAGGGATCACCCAGAATGAACTGTCAGGACCAGTACAATTGAATGCAAAATTCAGGCTATAATATATAATATAATTAATATAATATAATATAATATAATATAATATAATATAATA